GAGCTGCTTCTAAAGAAGGCACGCCACAATCCCTTCGTCACTTCCCGACGAGCTCTATCACACGGTTCGGTCCAATGGCACGCTCTAGCCCGCCATAGGCTTCCCCACTAATTGGAATCGCGAAAGCTTCACGTTCGGTGGTCACATAGAGAGCATAATGTGACTACATAACGATCAGCTTCCCGAGTGCACAAGGATGTCGTCATTCCATAGAAATTGAATGTTCTGATACTAATTTGATAGAAAACAAAACATAAGTCAACAAAAAAATTAGGTCAAATAATATTTTATTGTAAGAACATCAAACAAACAAACATAATACAAAGATAAGGATCCTGCACCCATAATTCGAGAGGCAGGCAATCTCTCCCAATTCCTACAATTCGAGAGGTAAAAAATCTCTCACAAGCCGCAATTACATATATACCACCCGAAACTTGCTATTTATAAAGCAACCACCTTCTTTCATCCATTTTCCAAATTCTCACTCAAATAACAAAATTCATAGTAAAACCCCTATTCATATTTTTCATTTTTATCAAATTCTCAATTTGATCGCAGCACGTGTAAATACATCGCTTTGGTAGTTCAAGAAAATCACATGAGTGGTTTATTCACACAGACACAAGCACAAGCACAGGCACACATACATATGAGTTCAAACTTTTAGATTTCAAATCCAAATCAAATTTTAAATTTCATTGCAAATATCCTATCCTTTCCAACCCCTTCTTTTACGTTAAAAATCTATCAACATCCTCCATAGTTCCTTCAAAATTTCATCATTAATATCCCACATAATTCCCTCAAGATCCTCCATAAAAATCTCCAAATAATCTCTATGAATTTCTACTTGAAATTTAAAATTGAATTTCAAAAAATTTCAAACCATTCATTCTGATCAGTTATTTTTCCTCCACAAGTTTCTCCACCCACCTTGACCCAATCAAGCCTAGTAAGATTCTTCAAACTTAATCCAGTTCTACTTATTTTCTAAAACCAAGCTTGGCACAATGATTTCACTCATTAATTGACTTAAATCAGCTCAATCGCCCCAACCCAATGAAGCCCAACCATGAGTCAAAATAAAATAAAATAAAAGCATCAAACCAATCTATCGATATACATGGCAACATCCAATTTTTCAAAGTTTTCTTCCCAATGCTAATGATAGAGTCCATAAAGATTGATGAAGGATACGTTAATCAATATTACTGTTGACGAATTTATTCCTCCTTCCACTCTTCTTCATGATTTTACATTCACAGCTGCACTTCAAATGGACTTCTTATTTGTCACCTCCACCAAATTTCACATATTTCCTAAACCTAAGGGTTTAGTCCAGCTTAGATAACCAAAAATAGCTCAATTGGCCTAACCCGAATAGGTCGACTTAGACCAATCTTGAGACCCAATGAATTAAGGGGAATAAAGAAAATCTTAAAAAAAATAAATAAAGCGTCAAATTAATCTATCGCATCCAATCTGTCAAACCAAAACATCCAAAACTATTGATAGTCTTTCTTAAGAATTCATGATGATTATTTAATTAACATTGTCGTTATGAGTTTATCCTTCCTCTTCATCTCTTCTTTCAAATTTCCTATTCTTCACCCCACTTGAAAGGATTTTCCATTCATCAGTCATCTTCGAAATGAACTTTGAGAAAATAAATTTCATTCAACAATACAATAAAGATCTCTCCTCAAAATTATGGCAACATTTCAACTCTCTATAATAGATTTCTTTGTAATCCAAATGAATCAATGCAGTACAAGATGCCCACCTCAACGGTCATTTTTCAACAGTCATGTGTGGTATAGTCATGTCCGTTTTTGTAGAAAGATGGGCAAAATGAACAATCTCATCTTATGGGTTCCAAAATTAGACAACAATCAGACAAAAGAATATTATGTATTTTTAAAAATATATCCAGATCAGCTATCAATTCAAAGTGTATATCTACAATAAGGAAACCTCATGCTTTATATAATTACTTACAAGTCTCTCTCAATTAGAAAAGTACGTCTGTTGTTCACCTTCTAGCCTCCGGTAAGCACCAGATTTTTATCTTATCCAACTATGTGTTTCTTCCTGACTAATCCAATTATTTTTATTTAATATCATCTGGTAAGCACATTTTATTAGGGTTTTAATCTGATTATCGAATGATTGCCACTAAGTTTTGTTTTTCAATCTGATTATCGGTTCTTCCCTATTTATTCCACCAGATTTTATTTCGATTGACGAATACATTTAATTGCGCGAAAAATCTTATGTTCCTCAAAATGTTCAATAATATGACAAAGATGATATCATGCAGCTATTCTAACGAGTGTTTCGAGCTTTTTCCATCAACTGCTATATCGCCATGGAATAAGATTCTGGAGGGTTATATGTTTGTTTGCTACAATAATACTATGAAGGTAGGACTTATATTAAATTATTCTCATTACCACCAAGCTAATTACTCCTCAAATACTTAAATTATTTAAACAACATAAGAAAAATTTATTATTTATATAGAAAAATTTTAAATTCAACAGTAAACATTACCAAGTTACTCCCCTAATTTTAGTCGAAGTAGCATATCTATTACATTTGAGAATTCTGCATATTTATTGAATTTAAAAATTCATAAAGCATAGACTTGCCTCTATGGGTGGTATCTTCCAAGGTTGTTAGATCCAAAACTTGTAACTTAAAAAATTTCATGAAGCTCAAGAGTTCTGTAGTTGTAAAAAAAAGAAATAATACTATAGTACTAAATGCTCAAGTTATTTTAGAGGTGAACAGAACAATTGTCTTATGGTATCACAAAACAAAAAAAAAAAAAGATTTACTTTTGAAAATGTCTAAATATATAAATATATTTCATAGTGATCAATTGCCTTTAAAAAAGGAAGCTTACCCATTTAGAAGTGATTATTATTTACTTTGATTGATAAATAAACAAGTTTTAGAAAGCAATTAAACTATGCAAATTAGTTGATTTTAAACTATACTCAACAATCAAAGTAGAGAACCTAATTATGCATGTTTTGAAATAGAATCAATTCATAAACAACCTCTATCTATTTATGGAAATTTAGAAAGAATAATTCATCCAAAATGGGAGGTTTATGTTTGTAAGGTTGGTAGCCATTGAAATTTATTTCTAATTAAGTAAGTCTTAAAAAGGAAAACCTTATCCTTTATATACTTACAACTCTCCCTGAATTAAGGAATCACGTCTACTGCTCATCCTCTAGCCTCCGGTAAGCACCATAGGGTTTTATCTCATCTAATTATGCCCCATTTTTTTTTTTGAATCGCGTCTGATAAGCTCATTGTATTGAAATTTAAATCTGATTATCGAATGATTGTCATTAAGTTTTTTTTTTTTATTCTGTTTATCGGTTCTTCCATATTTATTTTACCAGATTTTATTTTGGTTGGCAATTTTTTTTTATTGCGCAATAAAATCTAACTTTTCTCAAAAAAGGGTGCAGAATTTAAATTTAACATTAAACATAACCAAGTTCCTCCCCTAATTTTAGTCGAAGCAGCGTAGTTATTAAATTTGAGAATTTTGTATATTTAAAGAATTTAAATCAAGATTATTGATAATTATTACTAAATTATAAAATATAAAGTTAAATAATTTATAATATGCTTATTTAAATTCACTAAACAGAAACAAATATCTGATTAACTAAATAAGTTAATAATTAATAATTAATATAATTACAATGATATTAAATTAAAATAAACTAAATTAGTCGTAATACTTGAGTCATCAAAATTTAGTATTAAAATTATATTTTTACTCTATCCCAAAAACAGAAAAAAATACCAAGTAATTTCACAAATTTAACAGCGTATACATCATTTCAAACACCTTTTGAGATTTAATCACCTTAAAAATGTACAAAATCCGGATTTTGAATTAAATCTAATATGTTCTAAACAACCCCTAAATAATTAATCACTCGTTAATGATTATGAGAAATCTTAAACTAATTGATTATTATGTGAAATATTTAACAATTTACTGAAATCCAGTAAGAATAATTCATCTTATTTTTCCGCCAATTACCAAAAAAAAAAAAAAAATCTATATTTTCATGATAAATCGTCATCTTAATTTACCTGCCAATTCTGAGAAATTCAATTAAATTCGAATGAGTCTACGTTTATATTTGAAAGATTATTAGCCGTTATAGAAATAAGAAAAAAAATAAAATAAAATCTCTTACAAATTAAGAAGTTTAAAAAAAAGTAAATCTCACCCTATATATAATCACTTATGAGGGATCGAGTTCACCGCCTACTTTTTCCTAATTCCCTTCCGAATCCCTCTTCGAGTTCGAGTTCACCGTCTACTGTTTTCTAATTAGAGATCAAGATTGAGATAGAGTTCAACGCCTCTGCGATGTTTTCTAGTTAGAGATCAAGATTGAGATAGAGTTCAACGCCTCTGCGATCGAGATCGAGGCTTATCGAAAGGTTTTAGTTTAGTCAGATATTCTCCAAACACTTTGCTTTTCAATTTGGAATCATATTCTCATATTACATGAAACATTTTCTCTGGATTTATTAGTTCTTCCTTGAACTTTTTCCCCAAATACATATTACATATTGACGATTTTAGCATATTTTATTATTTCATATCATTTTTCTTAATTTTAAGGAAAAGTTTGACGATATATTGCAAAAACAATCATCCAGTTTTAAGATTTTTTTTTAATTTTTTTTTTCTGATATCTTCTTCAAATTGGTAAGTTTTTTTTTTATATATAATTGTATATTGAAAAGATTTGTTTTTATTATTATTACTTGCATTTTATATTATGTTTTTTATTTAAAGAAAATTTTGACAATTTATCATGAAAAGGATCATGCGATTTTATAATTTTTTATTTTTTTGTATCACCAAAAGTACAATTTTTTCTTAATTAAAATACTTATTGTTTATTATATCTAATTAACTGGCTAATCCTAATTGTGTTCACCTCTAAAGGTATAGTCTATACGGTGCACGAGACTGATAAAAAAAACTTGATTTATTTCTGAACACTAGCGTTCCAGGTGAACTTATTGTCTAAGTTCAAGCATTTTAAGTTGAATGAACATTTTATTTATTTATTTATTGATTATATAATATCATTAATGAATTGTACTAAATTTGTGCTAGTGATCGGATCAAATTATGGCTTCCAAGGAGGTAGTTGAACCACACATAATTTTCATATATGATACTCCAGATGAGGAGCTTGAAGACACTGCGTGCTCTATTTTGAAAAATCAAATGTTGATAGATGCACCAGCAAAAAGAAAATTCTCTCCATATGAATTTTTCGGTAATTGCTTATCTTGCTCAATAACTCACACACATATTCACACACATACATGAGCTCTATAGAAAGATAGATAGTTTGAGTATACGCTTGTAGAGAAGAATGAATTTTTTTTATGTACTTTTACAGTTAAAAAGACTGCATGCTCATGCAATAAGGAAGAAATAATTTGGAATAAGTTAGAAAGTAATAACAGTCGTGAAAATGATGAAGAGGATGATCCGTGGCCATCTCCCACACCAAAGAGAAGAAAGAGATTAACTGCACATGCTTATTTTGCCATTCTAATGGGAAAGGAAAGCTGGACAAAGACATCTGGTATCCTCTGAACATTTTACTAATAATTCAGTTTATAATATTATGTTTTGTTTCAATTCATTTTGACACAATAAGTGCTTTATATAATTAACCTTATTTTACTGTGAAGTGATGATAAATAAAAGTTGTTGTTATGAATGTGTAAAAGATAATTCAGTTCAAAGCAGCATTGGAAGTACCAAACCTGAAATGAGTGAATCTGATGAAAACTTCAATGTATTCAAAATAAAAAAGAAGAGATTGACTGCTCCAGCTTATCGAAAGTTTTTGAGAGAATGTAACATGAGAGCTAAAATTTTAAGGTATTATTTTCTTATTGCCTTTGAAACTATTTAGTTTTTATACTTCAAAGCTCATTTATTATATGAGATTCATATTCAATACATTATTTAAAATGATTTTGACAGGGAATTCAACAAAACCAACAATCCAATTCTGATGTCGGATGCATGAATGCTTAATGAAGTTTTAGGGAAGATCAGATTGCTTTAGTTTCCAAATATTCAGAAATAATTTTTTGAGGTTAATCGATGCATACATTTGTTGTTAAATGACTTTGAGTCTAGGTGGTTTCATGAACTCTAATTAGGTTTTGTTGCATTCATCATTTTTATTGTTTTAATCCATGCATATTTCATATGTGTTGTGTCTTATACTCGAAATGTTATGGTCGCATTCATTATTTTGATAATTGTTCATTCATTATGAATGAGATATTGCATTGTTTCATGATTCGTTTATGATTTGTTAATCATAAAATATTAATTTTTTTAGTTAATTTTCACTTCTGATAATAACAATTTGTAAATTAAAAATTTTAATCTCTCGTTACAGTTCTTTAAGAGAATCATATGCATGTTTGTTAATTCATCTAGGCTACAATTAAAGGATGTGGTGTATGTGTTTTTGTAAAAAAATATAAATTATTAGTAAAAAATAGTCAGATGATAGAAAGCATTTCATCAATATCATTTAAGAATTAACTTTAAATATATTTATACATACGGACACATTTGCTTTGTGCGTCCATTGGAGCTTGGAATGGACCTTGGCTGGCCGCACTTTTTTATTTTCTACAAATATTTACAAGCAAACAAATGAAATCTGATCCATTTACATATCTACAAAGAGGGAAGGGACGCCAGAGTTGCTTATTTAGGAAGGAAAATGAGATGGTGAGTGTGAGCTATGTGTCGTTGTCTACGGTGAGACAGAGGAGAAAAAATTGCGTCTGCCGATTGGAAATATGGATGACAGCGTGAATATTTTTTCAAGGTTAAGACGGGATGATGACCACAAGAGAGTGAGTGTGACCTGCATTTAGGCCTAGCAACAACAAGATTTATTAACATTGTGAATAGAGTGTTAGTGTCATTACCAAAGGATAGTGTATTGGGATGTATAAAGACAGAAATGTCAAACCTCGTTTTCCTTTGGTTTATGTTTTCTCTAAAGAGAGATAGGAAGCTCTGGAAATAATCAAGCTATCAGACACCTAGGGAGAAGGTGACAGCCAGTTTACCAATATGGAAGATTTCAGAGCTGCGGTCTCCATATATCAAGTCGAGATAAGGTTTTCATGCTACTGAGAATTTCATTTCATGCAAGAAATATTACCTTCTTTTATGATAATCATAGTGCAATTTATGTCAAACTAAAATTTATAGGAATTTGTTATATATAGCTCATATTTAGTTGTTTTCAAAAAATAGGGCATTATAAGATGAGTTAGTGCTTAAAATTAGAAGAACCAACTATGTTGGTCTAGAACAATGCATTCTTTTAGAGCTGCAAACAAACAAAGTCGGGTCAAGCAAGATAGTGTAAGCTGGAGACCGAGCTGAGATCAAGCTTAAATCGAGCTTTCGTATTTATATTCAAGCTTGGTTTGTTTCTCATTCTAGTCTATTGGAGCTCGGTTCTTGTTCGCTTCATATGATAATAATCGAGTTATTATCGAGCAGATTAAAGAATAGTATTATTAAGTTATTTGATTTTTAACCAAACACCCTTTTTCAAACATTTTAATTTTAGTGCTTTCATGTTATTTATTTTAACCGAAGGATCTTATCGAGCAAAATTTTCGAATGCTTGGTCCGTTTGTAGCTCTTTATTCTTTGTATTTTAAAAAATCTTACATGAAAGAACCAATGAAGTAGTTTTCCAAATATTCTTCAGTTTTCTACTCCTCTTAAATCTACTAATCTTAATCAGTTGATTATCTTGTGATGCTATTCTAACAAAATTAATCACAACATTATATTTCTCCAGAAGTCCTCTTCAAATATGTTGGAGTATGGCCTAATTATATACATCTCAATGTGTAATACGGTTCCTAAAAAATTGAAGTACATGAAGAGCTTTAAACTCCAACAATGATATCTAAAAATGTGTTTTGATCAATTCTGCCAAAGATTTGATTACACTGAATGCTTCAAAAAATATCATTTTTTAGTTCTTTGATGTTTCCAGGGCTTATAATGCCGTGTAAACTTAATATTCGGTGACCTCATTGTCACGTAAAACACTTATTTTAATATAAACATATAAAATTCAAAGGATTTTTTACCCCCAAATGAGCTTAAGAAATATTTAATGCTTTTAAATAATTTGCTTAAAGCTATTTGGACTTTGATTCATGTGTTCTTAATATTATTAATTTTTTCTTGTCAGACTGCACTATTGTATTTATAATTTGTTAAAATTAAATTCAAATGAAGGGAATGGTCGCCAAGCTCTTAAAGTCGTTCGAGATAGGTTCCAAAGCTAGCAAAAGCATATATGTTCATTTTCTTCTTGTTGAATAGTGCTGCAATTACATTGCCATCCACAACGTCAATCTTTTCATTTGAGATTTTCATCTTTCATATGTAACAAATACATCAAGAGAAGAGGGTTTAATGAAGAAAAATGTGAGACATTTATTCTTTTCATGGCATACTTAAAAAGTGGTAAGAGAACTTGAAGGCTAAATATGTGCATTCAAATATGCACTAACTCAATTTTATTTAAGTTCACCCGCATTTGCAGCAATAATGTAGCTCAACTACTAATATCCTATCTTTCTAAAACTGAATTCAAATGCATTTTAAAGAAAGGGTTTTAAAAACATAGCACTATAAATTTTAAATATTACACGTCAAAAATTTAATTATCATACTAATTAACACACTATTAACGGGGTTAATAAATCTTGTTGTTGCTGGACCTAAATGAAGCTCTCACTCACTCTCTTGCCACCATCATCCCATCTTAGCTTGAGAGAATATTTACGCCGCCGTCCATATATCTAAATTGCACACGTAATATTTTTTCTTCTACCTCACCGTCGACATAGACACATAGCTCACACTCGCAATCTCATTCTCGTAACAAAATAAGCAGCTCCCGGAGTCGATTCCCCCCACTCCCTTTGGAAGAAAAATTACATGCGGATAGGGTATGTGCAGTTTCAATGTTTTTTTGGTGTGGTGATATTTGTTATAATAACACCACAATACTACTAATTTGCACGTATATTATCCACATATCTAACATCTAAACTGAAATGTTTGTATATAAGCTACCTAATTTTTGGATAAGAAGGTGCATTTTATTTTCTTAAAGTTAAACTAATGACATTTTTATATCATATGAAAGATTTGTGTGGTATAAATGTAAAAGATAAAGTTTAGGTTAAATACGTAATACATAAGAATTTGGTGGTATGCATTTAAATGCCGCCTTTTTTTAATTAAATTTATGTGATGAGCCGTTTTTTTTTCAGTGAAAAAAGCTAATTTTATTTGAGAGATTATTTTTACTAATAAATATTTCTCTTTAATTATATTGTTAACTTAATATAAGATATTTTTCATCAGTAATTTAAAGTAAATTAATTAATCATAATCAATATAATTATTTAATTCATTTTTAAATGCAATTACATAAAATTAAAAAAATTATAAAAAATTAATTTAGTAATTTAAATTGAATTAAATTAAAATGAGTTGAATAATATATTTTAAATTTGAATTAATTTAATTTAATTTAATTCTCTAAATAAATTTTTAAAATTAAACTTAAAAGTTATCTTTCTCAATTTTGACTTTTAATTCCAACTAATTGTACAAAATAAGTGAAAAAAAAAATTAGGAAACTCTATAACTCTAGACCAATTAATACCTAAACTTTTGACATACCCCCCCACTTCTTTCACATCACATTCCTAAAGCTCCATATAAAGCCAAACATTAATATTTTGCATAATTGTTCCCATGCAGTCTCTCAAAACTGTCACATGTTCTAAATTTTAAGAGCATTGTATCATAGTCATTTAAAGTCAAGAATTCTTCCATTGTTAATTTGCAAATCTAAAGGCGTGCACAAATCATTAATTCAAAAAAATATATATATATATATATTAAAATTAATTTTTTAATGTAATTAATGAAACTATTTCTGTCATGTGACTATTTTTGATAATAATTTATATTTTTTATAAAATACATAATTATAGCCTTAGAAGATGAATTGATCATTCACTCTGTGAAAATATTCAAGAGAAATTACAAACAAAAATGCATATGATTCTCTTAAAGGACTGCAATGAGAGATTAAAAAATATAATTTATAAATTGCTAAAATTAGAAGTGAAAATTAACTAAACAAACTAATATTTTATGATCAACAAATCATATGTGAGTCAGGAAACAATGCAATATTTATCTTATTTATAGTAGAAAAGTAGAAAATTAACAAAATGATGAATGCAATCAAAACACCTTGAGTATAAGACCCAACACATGTGAAATATGCATGAATTAAAAAAATATAAATTATGAATGCAACAAAACCTAATTAGAGTTCAAGAAACTATATAGACTCAAAGTCATTTAACAACAAATATATGCACCACTTAACCTCTAAAATTTATTTCTGAATATTTGCAAATCAAAGCAATACGTTCTTCCCTAAAACTTCATTAAGCATTCATGCATCCAACATCGGAATCAAATTATTGGTTTGGTTGAATTCCCTGTCAAAAGCATATAAAAATAATATATTGAATATGAATCTCATATAATAAATGAACTTTGAAGTATAAAAGCTAAATAGTTTTAAAGCCAATAAGAAAATAATACCTTAAAATTTTAGCTCTCATATTGCAATCTCTCAAAAACTTTCGATAAGCTGGAGCTGTCAATCTCTTCTTTTTGATTTCGAATAGATTGAAGTTGTCATCAGATTCACTTATTTCAGGTGTGGAACTCCCAATGCTGCTTTGGACTGAATTTTCTTTTAAACATTCATGACAACAACTTTTATTTGACATATCTTCACAATAAAATAAAGTTAATTATATTAAGCACTTATTGTGTCAAAATGAATTGAAACAAAATATAATATGATAGATTAGTAAGATATTCAGAACATACTAGGCATCTCTGTCCCGAATTCCTTTGTTGTTAGAATGGCAAAATAAGTAGGTGCAGTTAATCTCTTTCTTCTCTTTGGTGTGGGAGACGGCCACAGATCACCTTCTTCATTATTTTCAGGGTTGTCATTACTCTCTAATTTATTCCAATTGATTTTTTCATTATTGCATGAGCATGCAGTCTTTTTAACTGTAAAATTGCATACATAAAGTTCATTATTCACAACAAGCATATACTGAAACTCTCTCTCTTTTTATAGCTCATGTATGTGTGTGAATCCGAGTGAGTGTGTTATTAAGCAAGATAAACAATTACCGAATAAGTCATATGGAGAAAATTTTCTTTTTGTTGGTGCATCTGTTCGC